CGCACCGGACGAGAAGCGCAGCGTCGCGCCACGTCTTTAAAATTCAAATACTTTATCTTCTATCAGTGTAGGCACACCGGCGGCGTCGTTCGGCGTCTCTCCGTGGCGGCCAGCTACGTCGTGTTATACTTGTAAGAATTGTTCTAGACATGCCGAAAATTTGAAGCTACAGCACAGCAGCTATTCTTCGTTTTCTCTGATGCACTAACTCTGCAGCAGCACTTCTTCGTCATCGTCTCGTCTGATGCGCTCACTCAACCAAGCGTTCTAACCACAACCGCGCCCCTCCCCACCCCCCAACCATTCGAATTTCTGTAGGCGGGAATTATTTTTAATGATATTCTAATGGGCCGCTTTGTGATATCACAAAGCCCGGAAAACAAACGCTGTAGTCCAAACGAGCCGTTCGTTGTAGTTTTTGAAAAGAAATTTAAAAAAAATGAAATATCTCCCTTTGGAGTGGACTTTGAGATTTGTAACTTTCTAGATCTTTTTTATGCCCAAACATACACACTACACACTGACTAAAATTTTAAAAGTGAAAAAGCATAATAGGACCCCTTTAAATTAAATAGAAAGATTTGGATTTCAACATGGTCTCAGACATCTGAATCCCACTATACTACTCAAGTAGGAGTATTTCATTGCTCAGAACAAGTTGTGAAACGTTCTGATGACATATTGCTCTCTTCAGGGTGAACATGGCCTACCTAGACCGTCTGGAAGCGGGTAGTTCAGGTAGGGTGTCTGAACCCATGACCCAAACCCCTGAAAGCACTAATGTCTGGCTGGATGATGACGACGATGATGACGAACCACAGGATACAGCCTTATCCACAGTGCCCAACCCATCACAGCTCCACACAGACTGTGAAGAGGAGGATGGTGAGTCTTAAACAAGATTTATATGCATCTGCATGGCACTGTGTGTGTTTAGGTCTGTTTCATTTCACAGCACCTCTGGAAACGTCTCAAAGCCTCTGCTTGTGTGTGATATTAAACAGATCTCACACCCCCGGTGCCGGACAGCATAACACATTGTGTAAATAAAAATGTCCCAGCACGCCAGACACGTGATGCTCATAGATGCTCCTGTATATTCAAACTGTCAGTGTTATGAGAGGTTAATGTCAATGAGTCAGTAAGAGACAAACTCATTAGCAGCGAGCTGCGTGGTTGATGTGTTTTTACTTGAGATTGTTTTGAGTCCAAATTGCCTGCTGTAAAGTAAACTCATTTGGCCTGGGAGAAGCTTGAATTATTGGCATGCCTGTCTGACAACAGATTCATTAACTGTATGTCTGAAGCGACTGCTGAAACAAAAACATTGGTTAGCTCTTCCAGATCCAGTCTGGCTGCACTGTCATTACTTGGAAATGTGCCATTCTGTCTTCAGACTTGCCTTGCTGTAGTGTGGGTTAAAGAAATAGTTCATTCAAAAATGAAAATCAATCAGTATGTACTTACCCTCATGTCGCTGTAAACCCGTATGCGGTTATTATTTCTGCAGAACACACAGGGAGAATCTTCATGCAGCTCTTTTCCATAAAAAGACATATAGCATGTCTGTATGTCAGTGCAAAAAGCATCATAAAAGCAGTCCATATGTGTGTACTATATTTTAAGGCTTCTGAAGCCAAATCTTTGTGTGAGGAACAGACACAAGTCATTATTCACTCTCAAATCAAAGCAAACATGCAAAATATTTTCTAGCTGTCTAATCAAGTATACTCTGTACCTTTAGAGGTAGAGGTAGTTTTTATTGACATTTTGAATGATTTTATTTTTATATTTTCTTTTTTCATTTTCATTTTAAAGTTTTGGAAATTGTGTGTTGTTTTTTTATTTAATTTTTTAATATGTCTAATTGTTATTTATTATTATTTTTAGTTCTTTTAGTAAATTTAACTTTGTTTTAGTACAACGTAAACTAAAAAACAATGAAAAATGCTGGCAACTAGCTAAAATAAAAACAGAAAACAGTTGTAAGTTTTTTATATTTTATTGCAGTTAATGTTATTTAATGTCAAGTTTTAAAGTCACTTTAGTTAAGTCTGCTCACTGGGGCAGTAAGACCTATTCACACCAAGATTCAGTTGAAAAATATTCTGTGCAATAAACAAAACTGGTCAACTAATAGGCTTTTCTAAAAGCGGTATCTACTGAGAATGAATCTGCATTTTCATTCAGCCCGTCTCCATTTTTTATGTACCTGTCCAAATTTTCATGCTAAACATTTTGTGTTGGGCCTTTAAAAGCCTTTTTACCCTATTTACCATTAAAAGGTTCATGTCTTAAAGGTATAACATGCTCATTTTAGAGGTATATAATGTGCAAAGTTACCCCTTCAATGGTACTGCCCCAGTGACAAGCTGTTGTATCCCTTTTTTCCTAACAGTGGCAGAGGTTGGACTTCAATACCATCATAAAGATGTCATTGGTTCTCATATGACCATATGATTAAAGTTGAGAGTTTTTAGTGCTTTTATAGTGTCCTTTTTGGAGTGTTAAATGAAAAAAAAAACCGGCGTGAAGATTTAAAATGTCTTCATCTGTGTTCCACTGAAAAAAGTTTGGAACAACATAACGGTGAGTAAATAATGGCAGAGTTTACATTTCTCTTTTGATGTGATGGATTGATCATTTTAAAACTAAAAAGAAAAAGAAAACCAAAAAAAAACTATCTTATACTGAATTTACTTCATATGCGGGAATGGAGAACTATTGCTTATTCTATTCTGACCAAAAGGCATGGAATTGTATGATTCACGCTTATTGCTTTAGCATCCTTAGTGGGATTTGCAAATGACTTATGGTCCGATTCAGCCTGAATCTAGCTCCATATGTGGAGATCTTCACCTTTTTTTATGCCAAGAGGTGTGGCTGTTACGGCCAGCTTTTCCATCTGTGTGTGTGGAGCTGCTGTGTGATGGTGTGGGACTAATGTGCCATTCACATTGAAACAGTCTGCATATCTTCTCAGATGCCTAATGACACATTATGTTTGTGTGTTCAGCATCACTTATGTCTGAATCACTGCAAGGACCAAAGGGTGTATGTATCCTCAGCTGAGGCTTGGGGTCAGCCAGGTCCTCCGATTCTCAAACTCACACCTCTGTCTCTGATTACCAGAAACATTAGATGTGTTTGTCTCCGGACCAAGAGAGTCTCAGAATGACCTCTCGTCTGGCTGCGGTTCGGCTTACTCACAGTAGATATAGGACCTGCCCTGGCTTATGATGCTTCAGTACATGAACACTATGATTAACAGGCTGAAGGATGAGATATTAGAAGCTTTCCATGTTTAAGGCAAGAAATTACAGTGGAATAGAGTAAACATTAAATAAAGATATCATCATAGTTTCTCCATTTGGTCAATCACAGTAAATTAAGCCAATTGTTTTCTTTGAAAAGTTTAGATAATTTTAGATAATGCAATGAGGCATTATCTAATTTTGTGTGCAATTATTGCATATATTTTCATAACAGAAATCCGATGATTGGACAAAGCCAGGTTCAAAATCAGTGTTTCATTTTGTTGAAATATTAAAGGGATAGTTCACCCAAAAATCATTAATTACTCACCCTCATGTCATTCCAAACTCGTAAGACTTCGTTCATCTTCGGAACACAAATTAAGATATTTCTGATGAAATCCGAGAGCTTTCTGACCCTGCATAGACAGCAAGGGTCCTACCACGGTCAATGCACAGAAACGTAGTACAGACATTGTTAAAATCAGTGGTTCAACCATAATTTTACGACGCTACAAGAATACTTTTTCATAACAATTTTATTCAACGATTTCTTCTTTTCCACATCACCCTAGGCGCCATTATGGAGAGTACCATTAGTACCATTTTAACCCTTAAAAGCCAAAGCTGTTTACAGAGAGTATTTGGATAACTCTTTTTATTACTCCATAAATCAGAAAATACTGTCATCAGTCAGAAAAATACGTTTTCACAAAGTTTTTAGCCATTAAAGTGTAGTTCACTCAAAAATGAAAATTACCCCATGATTTACTCACCCTCATGCCATCGTATATGACTTTCTTCTTTCAGACAAAAACAATCAACAAGTTATATATAAAAAATGTCCTGCCTCTTCCAAGCTTTAAAATGGCAGTGAATGGGGGTTGTAAGAAAAATATCAATATTTTCAACTTTATAAACCGTAATCTCTAGCTTCCGCTAACTGTCGCACGTGCGTAAACGAGGAAGAGGCGTTCCAGCGGATGACGTAGGACACAGAAGCACAGAGGAGAAAGCGAATTAAACACCGGTCACAAATTAGAAGTACAAAATGAAGATTTGTAGGGCTGCACAATTCTAATCGCGATTACAATTATGGATGCCACAATTACGTAATCGTTCAAATCAAAGTCCACTTATGTTATCCTGCGTGCTTAAGATGCGTTTTTCTTTTTCTTTTTACATGTTATCTTAAGGGTTTTTCCCATTATTTTAATTTTAGTTTTAGATTATTATAGAACATTATAATACCACTCGTATTTTTACTTTTTTATAATTTAAAGAAGAAACCAATCCGATGTATAGTTGACATTTGAAGCTTAATACTATAGAAAAGCACTAAAAGTGTTTCAGTTAGAGTATTTTCAGCTTGTTTATTTTCATATAAATATACGGCATGCAGTTGCACCAAACGATGATATATTCTGTATTCTCACCAGAGCTTATGCTACACATATATCCTACGTCATCCGCTGGAGTGCCCCTCTCTCGTGAACATGCATACGACAGTTAGTGGAAGTTAGAGAAAATGGTTTATAAAGTTGTAAATATGGATATTTTTCTTACAAAAATGCATAGATTCACTTCAGAAGGCCTTTATTAACCCCATAGAGCTGTGTGGAGCACTTTTTATGATGGATTTATGCACTTTTATTGGAGTTCAAAATCTTAAACCTCATTTACTGGCATTATAAAGCATGGAAGAGCCAGGAGATTTTTTTTTACATCACTCCAATTGTATTCGTCTGAAAGAAGAAAGTCATATACACCTAGGATGTCGTGAGGGAGAGCAAATCATGGGGTCATTTTTATTTTTGGGTGAACTATCCCTTAAAATGTCAAATATATATCATGCAAATGAAATCTGAACAAACCCCTTTACAAAAACCTTTAGAACATAGATGGGAATAAAACTGGAAAGAGCCATGTAAGTGCTACTGAAGTGGAGATTTATGGCTAGAAAATAAAAAAATATTTTGAGAAAATGGCCTTAAAAGATATGTACTGTAATTTAAATCTATTAATGCAAATAGATCAAGTCTAATAATAAATTATTAAATTTGTATTTTGGATTGGATTTGGATCTTTCCATTAGTTTGATGGAAGTCAAGATATGAAAGCGAAATCTCAAAATTGACCACTGCCTGTAGTGTCTAAAATGTCTTGCTATACCAGATTCAAGCTGTATATTCTTAAAGGTGAAGTGAGTAATTTCTGCTCCACTAACATCACTGAATGTAACCACAAAAATAATGACTTCCATTTTCCGAATAACTCCACCCATAAATCAACCTACGAACGGATTACTTACAGTTGGCGCTACACATTAAACTATGATAAAAAAATACCCACTTCGCCTTCAATTATGTTCCTGAAGCTCAACTTCTAAAGCACAGCGCTAGCAACGTTGTTGGTTTCAGTCCCCAGAAATACGTATAGTTTACCAATAAAGTGTATACCTTGATTGAACACTTATTCTGTCTGTTTGAATTATTGCCATGAGTTTTCTGCTATCCTTTCACCACTTGCCTAATGGAATTTATTTTCTGTTGGATTTTATGTCCAATGACGGCCTTCCCATCTATCCTGCATTCCTGGGATCTGTGTGTATGGGACATCTGTCTGCCATAGTGCTAGTTTGGTCCATTAGTGTGTGGTTTAGTGTGGGATCAAGATGCCGTTGTTTGCGGAACAGGCTGGCAGAAGCACTGCGGTGGAGACGAGTTCTCCCACCCTGTCTGTCCTGCTCCATGAACCAGATGAACCAGCAGGGAGGTCAATCTTGCGCTGCAGCGCTGCATAGCTGCACATTATTAGAAGGATGTGTGTGATAACTTCAGGATCTGAAGTCTAGGAACAAGTGACCATGGTTGCTTATAATTTTTTGGCAGCTTCGTGCTCACATTTTGTGTATGTAAATGCTAACGAGTAGAGTGATTCAGTTATGGAGATATTAAACTACTGTACAGTAACAATTTGTTTGTTTGTTTGCTTTTTTCCTTGTAGATTGTGGCCATATGTGGACCCTGATGAAACTCCAGAATAGGTTTCCATACTATGAGCGGGATATGCTTGAAGAGATCGTCAAACAGTGCAATGGCAATTACCAGCAAGCATATGAGCTGCTTGATGTGTAAATACTTTCTCGTTTTGATCCTCAGTGATAGATTGATCCTAATGTTGTTTTGTGAGTTAATAATTTTTGGGTGAACTATGCCTTTACTTAAGGTGACAAGCTTAAACCAAACAATCTAGTGTCCTTTGAACTGAAACAAAACCTTCTTTTTTAGTTTGTGCAGTTATTTTTGCTCTGACACTAAATGGATCGACACTTAGTCACAGAGAAAAGAAATCAAAACAATAAATCAAGATTTGAGTCTGCTGTGGGAACATTTAGGGATCCCATGAGTACAATTCACAGGCTAAATGATGTGCGTTCACTAAATTCAAAGGCTAATTTATAATGAGGTAAAGGACTGAACTCATCCACCATAGGGATGGACAGTGAAAAACCAAACCATCATACACATCATTAGCTTCCTGAATGCTGTATAGGTTTCTGCTAAGACTGCATGAATTTAAAAAGACTGCCTCTATGTATGTGAAATAGAGTGCAACAGACGGGTTTGTGAAGTAAAAATCCCATCCATTTTCTCCATTGGGGAATTGTTTTTTTTTAAATGTAGCGATAGCTTATAAACCGTTAACGGCTTTAACATGGGAGAGAGCTACAATCTCATGAAGCATTGTGAGTGATATAAAATAAAATGAAGGAGAAATAAAAAACTATTAAAGATGTTTTTAATATATAGAAAAATATTTTATGTTTATTGAAGATATGTATAAATATACACAAATATGTGAATAGGTTACGAATCTATCATTGGCAGTGCTTCATGGGAGTGCTGAAGAGTTCTTTTAATCCTGATTCACTTGCCACGCTTGCCATGTTTTTCAACAGGAATTATGCCGTTAAACACAATGAGTTAAAATATAAATTGAAATAATAAAACTGATAGCATCATCAAAAGCTCATGCCAGTGTCACTGATTAACAACCTTGTACCTCACAGTAGGTTTCTCTTTAAGTACACAGTCTTACCTTTGTTTTGTTGTAATGAGATCCACCTCTTAGCTGGATGGTTTGGTTCATGGCTTAAATTTTCTTATTAAAGACTTTTTTTAAAATTTGTATGGGAAAATGAGTGGGAAAAATACTTCTGGAACAAATGCGGCAGAAAAAGTAGGCAGGCACAGTTGCACTCTATTCAGCAGATTTAATGAAGCAATGGAAGAGACATTTAATGGGTGCGTTGTCCTGAAAAAAAGATGTTCCTGGATTTGTGTTGATGTGTTTAGAAAATTGCCTAAACTAACACAAAGTAAAATTCAGCATCTTCATTGATAAAGCCATTTTACAGATATGTATAAGAGAGACACAAATGGCAACAATTTTGGCGATGATGGAGAAAGAGCTGGTGTTTTTGACTCAAGGAGTTCAGGTTCAAGTGTGGCCAAAACATCAACTTGTACATCCCGTGGCACAGTTTTCTTGCTCTTACACAAAATAATGCGGTTCATAGGCGGAGGGTGAACCAACTCCAGGGTAAGGCTAAAAGCAGCCAAATGTATTAAACATCATAAACCCATCTTTTTAGTCAAGAACCAGACATGGGTGTCATGTAGGCTAAAAAAAATGTCTAATGGGACTGAATTTGTATTTAACGTGATTAGAAATGGATAATTATATAACGTTTCCTTTCCACTGTTATTCAAACCGCGAATAAATTATATATAGAAAGTGACATTATCACTAACATTGATCTTAAGCACTCTCAAAAAAACTAAACTATCGTTATAATCACTGAAGCTGTATACACTGTTAAATGAGTCTCTTACTTACATTATACGTCCATCTGCGCTTTGTTGTTTATGATGAGAGCATTCGCAAGAGTCCATAATTCAGTTCAACAAAACTGATGAGTTTGAACGATGACTCGTCTGAACGCTTCTGATTGGCCATTGCATTCCTAAGCTCAACAGATATGTGTGTGATTGGTTAAAATGCGCAACACTGGAAAATCGCCTAAAATGAAATATGGTGCAACATGAGCAGATCTTAATTTAATGCCGCAATCGACACTATTCATATTCACTTTGTTAGCAATAGACGTAATAGATTTAATTTGTTTGTGCAGGGGCATTTTTGTCCAATTTAGTGGCATTTTTGCCCCAAGTCCCCCGTGGCCAGCCTTACACACGCTCCGCCTATGATGCGGTTGATTCTGTGTGAATCGTAATAATGTAGCTACCTTGTGTTTTTGTTGAACCGCGATCAATCGTGTTCCTGCACAGGAAAAGTTTCTCATGTAAATGTATTCGCTGCATTAAACATGCCGTTTCCGGTGACAGCTTCCCTGTCTTTTGATGAGCATATTTTTGTGCAAGTGTGTTTTCCTGTGTGCGGGGTGGAGAGGTAGTTGTGGAAAGAATGTTTCCCAAGGTAACCCAAACTTTAAAGGAAACTGTGTTTTTTCTGACACACGATACCAAGAAACATTTCCGAGAGGTGCTGTTCTGGGTCATTGAAACTAAGAGGGATCACGCTGCAACGTCATATCTCACAACTCTGATGGCCCACAAATCAGAACTGTCTGTAGGTCTACAAGATCCTGATTACCTCAGCAGCATTCAGGGGGATTTCCTGTGGGTGGTTCCCCATCTGAATTAGGTCACAACATTACCCATATCACCCAAGAATTCTGGGGGGAAAATAATAAAATCTACAGACAGCAATAAACCACAGCATACACCCAGCAGATCTGGGGTCCATTATCCATTGGTTTAGAAAAGACAAATATATTGATTCTCTATGAAATTACCCCTTTTGTTTTTCTCTTTGACTGTTTTCCAAGCATTGTGAGATTTCAGTTCAAGACTCATGTGAGTTGCCCTTTCACGCTCATATTATTCCAAGGTCTTGTCTTAAAGAATGAGCCATGAAATGCAGCTCTGCTGTATAGAAAAATAAAACTGGCGAGATTACACAAGCTCTCGCCTCTACAAAAAATAGATAGACTTTTATCTCTAAGGACCGCATCAGTTTTCCAGCTAGACCGTACTTGCAGGGTGTAACGTTTGCTTGTGTGCTAACTGAAATATTAGCCATCTTGTCTGTTGGACGGAGGATACTTCAGGACAGAAGAGGACCTCAAAGTGAACTAGGAAAACATGCCACTCGCAGGGCTGTAACATGTAGAGATCTCCACAGTCAACCACAACTGAGTCACAGTGCTTCCTGGGGAAAATGGGCTCCACGAGACAGGCTATTGAGGCACGCCTTGGCTGCTGGCTGACAGTGCCGACAATCCTCGTTCGCTCTCACACGCGCAGACACAAACAAATAAATAAACTAGCTCCAGCACAACAATATTTACGTACGTTACAGCTCCACCGAGAATTGGGCGCCTTTGAAATATTTGTTCTAACTGTTATATGTGGTATGATTAAGCATTGGGAAATCAAGCCAAAGAGTGATTCATTTTATGTGAGTGATGGAAGATAGGTTTGTAATACAAAGCACTGTGTAGTTGACAACGAATAAGCAGCCTGCTATTATACTGAAATGATTTATTATAGTGATACAAATCATATATGGAACTGTTTGTGGTTTAGCTCCTTTTTCCCAAAAAATGCGTTTGTCTGAAGCAGGAATACTCCCTAAACAAACAGCTTAAACCAGCCTCAAGTAAGGTAACAGGGTTGACAGTTTTATAGTCTAAATTGATATAATATGCATTGTGCTCAAGGTCATGATACTATATGAGGAATTAATTTAATGCTGACATTTCTGCAAATATCTACTTTTCAGTTATCAGTGGTTTGCTAAATTAAATCATGGTAACAGGGTTAACATTTTTTACAGACCGCTTGCTGTTGAGATAAATAATATGTGAAAGATTGTCTCGTCTAATAGTTATTTGTTGAAAGGACATAAATTGTATAAGCAACTGTTTGTGGTTTAGCTATTTTTCCTCCTGAAAGGCATTAATCTGAGGCAGCAATACTCTCTAAAAACAGCCTAAAAGGTAACAGGGTTGACAGTTTCATGGTTTCACTTGCAGGGTCATGACACTATAAGGAAAAATTATTCATGTAATGCTGATATTTCTATAAATATCCACTTTCTGATTATAAGTGATTCTAAATAAAATCATGGTAACAGGATTGACATTTGTAACCTGCTGTTCTGTTAAATGGCCTGTGGAAATGTTGTGTCTACTTTGTTAGAAGGACACAAGTTGTATACTGTAAATGTGTGTTTGGTTTAGACCTGTTTTTTTGTTTTACCCTAAGGTCTTTTTAGTGAAAAAGCAAAAAAGATGTATGTCAGCTTAGACCTTATTTCCCCAAAAGTCGTTCATCTGAAGTGGTAATACTCCCTAAACAAAAAAGGAACACAAACAAAGTTAAAAGGTAACAGGGTTAACAGTTGTATGGTTTAACATGACATACAGTAATATGCTTTTTGCTCAAGATCACGATACTTTAAGGAAATAGAATTTAATGTTGACATTTCTACAAATATACACTTTCTGATTAAAAGTGATTCTAAATAAAATAATAGTAACAGGATTGTCATTTGCAACCTGCTGTTCTGCTAAACGGCCTGTGGAAATGTCTTGTCTACTTGTTTGTTAGAAGGACATAAGTTGTATACCGTACATGTGTTTATGGTTTAGACCTGTTTTTTTCTTAACCCCAAGGTTGTTTTAGTGAAAATGCAAGAAAGATGTATATGTATATCAGCTAAGATCTTATTTCCCCATAAGTCATTCATCTGAAGTGAATCCCTAAATAAAACAAATGTCACAAATGTAAAAGTTAACATGGTTAACAGTTTCATGGTTTAACATGACATAATATTCCTTTTGTTCAAGATCATGATTCTTTAAGGAAATATAATTCAATCATGACAACTCTCTGAAGATTTTAGCATGGTGATGGATATGACAATAGGCGCATTTCCATTACCCTTCAAATTGTGCAAATTGAAATTGCGGATTGAAAATACGCCAAATGGAAACGCGTCAATTTCGCAAAAACGGCCATATATCGCAAAAATGTTTTTACGCTCACTTGAGGTGGTTTTTCAGGCAATGCGAAAAAGGATTAATTCGCAAAACTGCAATGGAAACGGCTTTTTCGCATTTACAGGTCACATGGCGTATGTAAAAATTCATATGATCATTCTTCAACGTACTACCTCCAAGAAACACTTCATAAGTGGCCGCGCTCCAGTATAAGGGGCTATCCCTACTATTAATACTTAGACAATTTACATTGCACACGTCTGCGGTGCAGTGTGGCTCTGATACGGTCACTGAAGCTGATTACGGCCACTCAATGCTTGAGTTTATGTTTTTATACAGTCTATGGTTTATTCCAGCCGTGCCACGTACGTTTCTGAAGCGGCTCTCTTTGCTGCTTCTGTAAAGATACGCATAAGCCTCCTTTGAATAAATATAGCCACAATCCGTCAAAATCCCACCAAAATCCATTGCCATGACTTGTAGCGAGAGGCAAAAGGTTAAGTTTTAGCCGCATAACATTGGTTAATGGAAACGCCGTCATTTCGCAATACTTTTTTATCGACATTCAGAAAATATCGCCAAAGTTTTGCGCAAATCTGTAATGGAAACGCGCCTAATGTTAACATGTTTAGTCTTGGCGGAATAGATCTGCTCCGCTGCTGCTGTTGGTTATTGC